CCTCAGCTCTTCAGCTCAAGGCTAGCGCTCTACCACTTGAGCCACAGCGCCACTTCCGGCTTTTTTCTTTTTGCTTATGTGGTGCTGAGGAATCGAACCAGGCCTCAGGCATGCAAGGCAAGCGCTCTACCACTGAGCCACCTTCCCAGCCCCCCACTTCTGGTTTTCTAGTGGTTTATTGGAGATAAGAGTCTCACGGATGTTCCTGCCCGGGCTGGCTTTGAACTGTGATCCTCAGATCTCAAGCTCCAGAGTAGCTAGGATTATAGGCGTGAGCCACCGGCGCCCAGCTGAGGCTAGCACTCTTAACCATTGAAGCCACAGTTCCACTTCCAGCTTTATGTTGGTTAATTGGAGTCTCATGGGCTTCAAACCATGACCCTTAGATCTCAGCCTCCTTAGTTGCTAGGATTATAGCTGTGAGCTACTGGTGCGTGGCTTTGTGTATTTTTAGTCTCATGCTCTTGTCCAGTCATTTAGGAAAAGGTCACAGCAGTTGATGCCGCTAGCTCAGTCATCCCCCGGAGTTGGGTGAGTTGTAGTAGTTGTTTTTGTGGAGGAGCGTTGCGTGGATCATGAGTGCTTGTGGTTGCATCTAAGGGAGTACGCCGTGAATGAAGTTGTGGCTGGGATTAAAGAGTACTTTAATGTGATGCTGGGCACCCAGCTGCTCTACAAGTTTGAGAGGCCTCAGTACGCAGAGATCCTCGCCGACCACCCCGACGCGCCCATGTCCCACGTGTATGGAGCGCCCCACCTCCTGCGACTGTTCGGTAAGCCGGGCATTGGAGCACAGTTGGCGGGGCATTGGAGCACAGTTTGTTTTTCTGGAATAATCGAATGCAAGTTAAAAGTAACTGGCTAAACCCACTCCTTTCCAACTGGAACTTGGCCCTAGAAGGTTCAATACAGCAAAATTGGTTTTAAATATCAAGAGGTAGTTCTCTGGCAGTACAGGGTTTTGAACAGGCCCTTGCTCTTACCAGGCAGGGACTTCTTTTTTTTTTGGCTAGTCCTGGGGCTTGAACTCGGGGCTGGGCACTGTTCCTGAGTCTCTCTGTGCTCAAGGCTAGCGCTCTTATCACTTGAGCCACAGTGCCACTTGCAGCTTTTTCTGTATGTGTGGTACTGAGGACTCAAACCCACGGTTTCAAGCATGCTAAGCAGGTAAGTTACTCTTACCACTGAGCTACATTCCCAGCCCCATAGGCAGGGACTCTGGAGCCCCAAGGAGTTTTAAAATGATGGAATTGAAAGCAAATGCTGATGGTAAGGCCAAACGCTGTGGTTCTGCCCTGGGCAGTCAGTAACTCACTCAGCTCTCTGTGCGTGCAGTTCGCATTGGAGCGATGCTGGCCTACACTCCGCTGGATGAGAAGAGCCTGGCATTATTACTGAACTATCTTCATGATTTCCTCAAGTGAGTAATTGCATGTAGTAATAATATGAATTAGTTATGTCTACTGAAAGTTGGCAGATACATAATCATACTGAGACACAGGTGTCCGGAGATGGCGACTAGATAGATGGGTGTCATACAAATGGTGGAGAAGAAATGTAGGGTGGTTGAGGGGTTTTCATCATGCATGTGTATTTGAGGGCTGCATTCTTGGGGCTTGAACTTGGCCTGGGCACTGTCCCTGTGCTTTCTTGCTCAAAGCATTTTGGTTGTTAATTGGAGAGGAGATTCTTGTGGACTTTTCTGCCTGGGCTGGCTTCGGGGGGCAGCGAGGATGACAGGCGTGAGCCACCAGCACCAGCAAGGACTGGCGCTTAATAACAGGCAGTGAGCAAAGGAGCGGGCAGTGATGGTTCACGCCTTTGTTCCTAGCTGTAGGAAGCACCTAAGCACTCTTCCTTTTGGAGCGGGGCCCTGCTGGCTCACAGCTGTTCAGAAGGTTGCGATCTGAAGATTGTCGTAGGAGGCCAGCCTGGGCAGGAAAGTTAGTGAGACTCTTACCTCCGACTAACCACTAAAAAGCTAAATGGAGCTGTGGCTCAAGTGGTAGAGCACTAGGTTGAGCACAAATAAAGGTCAGGCACAGTGCCCAGGCCCTGAGTTTGAGCCCCAGGACCAACATAAAAACAACAACAACAAAAAAAACCCCTCTGTTTTGGGTAGCGCTACTGCCTAGCAGTAGGATGGTGGTGGTTGAATTGTGGCTTTCAGCTGCCTATTTGCTGTGGGAGATGGGGTGGGGGTGCTGGACTTCATTCCTGTGTGCATGCATCTCTTCCATTGTCTTCTGTGTGGGCATTGTGATTGCTCACTTCCTGGGTCGTAGAGCCGTGTTGGGTGTAGTTTGTATGTATGTGCAGGGAGAGGTGTGACTGTCCATGCAATGAAATTTGAAAGCCTTGTATGTGCAGGGAGAGGTGTGTGTCCATGCAATGAAATTTGAAAGCCTTAAAATGAATATTTACTTTTAGGTACTTGGCCAAGAATTCTGCGACCTTGTTTAGTGCCAGCGATTATGAAGTGGCCCCCCCTGAGTACCACCGGAAGGCCGTGTGAGCGCTCATGTGGGATCTGTGGAACACGTTGTTGCAAGCGTGCGCACGTGTTTGATGTGTGTGACACGTTCCTAATCCTCCTCTTGTACAGACGGTGTACTTTGAAGATGTTAGTGTACTACAGAATTGATCATTGTTTCGTTCCATTTTAAGCAGAGAAAATAAAAGGGGTTACCACTCCTTTTCCTTTTCTTCTTTTCTTCATTTCCAAGTCGCTACCAGTGTATCCAGTGAGGACAACAGACAGCTGTCGCAGTGTCACCTCGGTGACACTGCTGCTTCCATGCTGGTGGTCTCTTCCTTTGACACTACGCACTTTGATAATACGTGTTAACGCCGTGTGACCACGCTGACCAGTGCCAAAGGCCCGATCATGTGTAGAGCCGCACCTCGCCCGCTGTGCTTTGTTTTGTTTCCATGGTGCTTCACGCACAGACCGTCCTCTCCTCGCGACCCTCGCTCCCCACGCACTCCATCCGCTCAGTTGTTGAAGATTGGTGGCTTGTCTCATGGTTTTTGTATTTTGTGTCTAATGCACGTTTAACATGATAGACGCAATGCATTGTGTAGCTACGGTTTTCTGGAAAAGTCCAATCTTTTAGGAGTTGTTTTTCAGACCTTCAATAAAATTTTTTCTTTAAATTTCAAAGAGCCGTGTGAGTGTATGGATGTGTCCAAACCATCGTCCGCTTGAAGGGGGAGTTGACTAGCTTTTCTTCTTAGCTCTAAGCCCCAGCCACTTTGGTCATCTGCTAACAAGTTTGAAGTTCACACTATGGCCATGTTCCCTGTGCACCCTTATCCTGTGTCAGCTTGCTTTGTGCCTGCAATTGATACAGCTACTGGAGCAGTGTTCCCCTTGGAGTGAGCTCACTAGCAATTCAAGTGAGGGTGTGGGGTGATTGACATACTTGCAGCAGTGCAGGGGAAGGGGGAAGGGGCTTTGGCTGTCCTGGTCACAGTTGTTCTCCAGCCACTTGCCCTGTACATATTTTGGGGAGAGCTTCCCTTTGGTATTTGGTCAGATGAACTTCTCTGCTCTTCCCTGCTCACCCTACCCACAGCCCCTTCCCTCCCCTCCAGCTTTTTTTTTTTTTTTTGGTCCGGTTGTGGGGCCTGAACTCGGCCTGGGTGCTGTCCCTCAGCTCTTCAGCTCAAGGCTAGCGCTCTACCACTTGAGCCACAGCACCACTTCCGGCCTTTTTTTCTGCTTATGTGGTGCGGAAGACTCGAAGCCAGGGCCTCATGCATGCAAGGCAAGCACTCTACCACTGAGCCACCTTCCCAGCCTCCCAGCTTTTTTAAAAAGCAGCTTTTGGCTAGATTTCTTCTGCCATCTTTACACAAATGTGTTTGATATTCACCCTGTCACCCTTCACTCTAAGAGCACGTGTTCACCACTGACTGACACAATTCTTTTGGTCACGTGACCGACAGCTTTTCCATGTGCTTGTCTAGCTGTGGTTTTTCCATAGGTGCTTGTTTCGTTGGCACAAGCATTGGTAGCTAATGGTGATGGCGTTTTTGCGGGAGCAGGGGTGGAGCGTCTGGAGGGAGGCCCTGCTTGGATTGGCTTGTCTGGCGCATGGAACATGGGAAGGCCTCAATGTTGAACCACCTGCAGAGGGTTTTTGGTTTTTTTTTAGTTTTTACTCGGGTCAATATTGACTTCATGTGTCTTAATTTGTACAGATGGCCTCCCCTTAAGTTGATAGAACAATTTTCTTGCCAGTCCTGGGGCTTGGACTCGGCCTGGGCACTGTCCCTAAGCCTCTGTGCTCAAGACTAGCACTGCACCACTTGAGACACTGATCCTCACATCTCAGCCTCCTGAGTGAGATTACAGATGGGAGCCACCACCGTGTGGCTTTAGAACACTTCAAAACAATTTGCCTTAGCATCTAGGACTGGAGGCGGTGTGGGCCTCCAGGATGGCTGATCACGGCCTCCAAAGCTCTTTCATTATGTGCCTTATTCGTTGGTGTTTACTATGGTAGAATGTGTGTCCCTGGGGAAATAACAGCACACATCTTGCCACTTCCGCTGGGCGCTGGTGGCTCACACCTGCCATCCTAGCTTCTCAGGAGGCTGAGATTGTGGTGCAAAGCCAAGCCCAGGCAGAAAAGTTGTCCACGAGTCTGTCCCCAGTGAATCACCAAAAAGCCTGCAAGTGGAGAAAGGGCTTCAAGCAGTAGAATGTAAGTCCTGAACAAAACAGCTCAGGGTCAGCACCCGGGCCCTGAGTTCAGACCCCCGTCAATACACACAGGACCAGGAAGTATGGAGAGAGGAGGAAGAAGGGCTGAGGCAGTTGCTTCCCCAAGGCTTGGAGCCTCAGCCTGGGAGGGAAAGCAGGAGGAGGGATGGTGTAGAGAGGACAGAAGTTTCCAGCATGTTCCAGCAGGGCAGGGTGAGGAGGCTGTGGAGCCACCAGGAAAGAGGGCTAAGGGTCTGACAAGGCCACAAGCACCCAGCCCAGGCCTGGCCACGGCAGGGCTCATGAACGTTTATTGACCAAAAGCCACAGAGCAGCGATCCCAGTCAGCTCCATTTGGGCGGGATGGTGAAGGCACTAAAGGCTTGTGGCTCTTGGGGCTGAAGATGGGGCGGCTCACCGCTGGGTCTCTTTTTTTCCTCTGTCCTTGGGCTTCTAGCTGGGCAAGGGCTTGAGGGTAAAAGGCACAGGGGCCTGGGGGGTCGCCCCACTTCCTCCACCACAGAGCGCGGGCCACCGGTCCCTCTCCTTGTCTGACCGTCGGTCGCCTCTGCGGCCCTGGCTCACACCTGGGGGATGGGGTAGGAGGCGCAGGCCGCCAGGCCACACATGTTCTTCCCTCGCTCGATGAGGAAGTACCTGGGGGAAGAGGGGCGGCTAAGGCCTCTGGGGTGTTCCCCACCCACAGGCCTTTCTGGAATGTTCTGCTACTCACTACGACCTGACTTGGACCCAGTGAATTTCCTCATCTGGCGGACGTGACTGGAAATCTTCTCTCTTAAGCCACCAAATGAACTTGCTTTCTATCTACTCAGGATGAGTTGGGACTCCCAGCCTGGGGCTTGAACTTGGGGCTTCTCGAAGCCTCTAGCCACAGCTCCACTTCTTTTTTTGCTGGTTAACTGGAGATACAAGTCTCTCAGGTTTGTCTGGCCGGGCTGGCTCTGAGCCATGATCCTCAGATCTCTGCCTCCTGAGTGGCTGGGATTACAGGCGTGAGCCTAGGGCTTCATCTCTCCCCCAACACCTACGGGGACTGGGAAGCTGCTCACCCTTTGTCCCCCCAATAGGGACCCCAGGAGTTTTTCACAATCCAGTAGGGGACCCCATTTTCTTCTCCATAGCCGACCGCCAGCACTGCGTGGTTGACTTTATCTGGAGTTTTATGACAGGTAGTACTAGGAACAAAGTAAAAATGGGTTATTAGTGAGGAAAGACCATGCATGCCACGATCCCCTCAGTGCTGAGTGTGTGTGTGTGCACGCACACGTGTGTGTGCACCAGTGCTGGGCTTGAACTCTGGGCCTGGGCGCTGTCCCTCAGCTCTTCAGCTCAAGGCTAGCACTCTACTACTTGAGCCACTGCGCCACTTCTGGTTTTCTGGAGGTTAATTGGAGATAAGAGTCTCATGGACTTTCCTGCCTGGGCTGGCTTTGAACCACACTTCTTAGATCTCAGCCTCCCGAATAGCTGGGATTACAGGCACCAGCACCATCACCCAACACAAATGTTTGCCATGTTTTTCTGAGCTAGTGGAGGCCCTGGGTGGAGGGTGGAGGAGGCTCTGGGCTCGGTATGGCCCTGGCTCTGCCGTTCCCTGGTGAGGCTTGGATATCCTTCCTGACCTGACCCAGCCGTGGGCCCCACCCCTGGGTGGCCCAGAACCAGAGGGGACCCTGGGGGCCACGCAGCACCCGGCTGGTGTAGGAGCATCTGCTGGCTCCTGGAGCCCCACTCACCTGGAGTAAACCCCACTTTTATACATCATGAAGTCTTCTGTCACCTCGAAGGCGAAGCTCACAGGGTTGTAGAGAGCCACGGCCTCCACCATGGCTGCCTCATCGTTCTGTGGGCGGACATGACAGACAGCATCATGGGCTGGGGGGTGTGTGTGTGTAAATCCCACTTCGTGAGCAGAAACTGGGCCCTGGAAGGGCCTTTGGGCATTTTTGCCTCGACTTAGCCTTGTCCCTACAGACTGGTGCTCTACCACCTGAGCCACAGTTCCACTTCCAGCTTTTGGTGGTTAACTGGAGATAAGAGTCTCATGGACTTTTTGGTGGGGCTGGCCTTGAACCGTGATCCTCAGATCTCAGCCTCCTGAGTAGCTGGGATGACAGGTGGGAGCCACCAGTATCTGACTCAAGAGTTTTTTTTAGTTGGCTTCTAACTCTTCCTTCCTGAGTTCGGCCTCTCCCCTCTCATCCTGTGTAGATCCCCCTCCCTCCCACGTCCCTCCACAGGGCACAGCATGGCCTCGCTCTCACAACCGCCCCTAGGCTCAGGGGCCTGAAGGGAGGGCTTCGCAGCCCGTCTCTGCCCCAGGACCTGAGCACATACTCAGTCAGTCTAGGAAACCGTTGAAAAAGCCTAGGGATTGTTCAGTGCAATAACGGGAAGACTCAGAAGGTGGAGAACAAGGGCGGAGTCTCCTGAGTAGGCCCTGCCCCTTGGAGCAAAGGTAGGGGAAGGGGTGGGTAGGTGAGAGCAGAGGCAGGCCTGCTGGACAAAAAGTTAGTGAAACCTCATAGCAACAGTGTGAGCTGGGTTCTGGTGGTGAAGCCTGTAATCCCAGCTACTTAGGCTGAGATCTGAGGATTGCTACTTGAGGCCTGGGAAGTAAAGCCCATGAGACGCATACTTTCAGTGAGCCAACAAAAAGCTCAAAGTAGAGCTGTTGCTCAAGTGGCACAGTGCCCAAGCCCCAGGACTGTCACAAGAACCAGGGAGGGGCCTCGGGTTGTAGAGTGCCTGTCAAGCAGGCTGCAGGCCCTCCGTTAAAAGTCCCCGCGGGTGGTCTGCACCCCACACAGCTCCAACCCAGTGCGAGGGTCTGGATCAGCTCACGTTACCATCCAAGGTGAGGGCACAGGTTCTGTGAGCAGAGGCCAGGGCTCTGAGAACAGGAGGAGGAGAGGAGGGCGGAGAGAAGCCCGCCCGCCCTCCCTCCCTCCCGGCTCCTGAGGTGGACAAAGAAATCAGGTGGCTCCTTCTAGACGCTTGTAGACATGGGGAGTCCAGGGGGCTCAACACAGACTGGCAGATGTCACACGGGCCTGACCAGCACCCTTTCCACAAACGTCCCTCGACCTGAACACCGCAGCCGCACTACAGCTGCACCTCTGCACTGCGTGTGTACCTCTTCACCGCGTCTGCATTGCACCTGCACCCCTGCGCCACCTCTGCATCACATCTGCACCCCTGCACCGCATCTGCACCCCTGCACCGCATCTGCACCTCTGCATGGCATCTGCACCCCTGCACCGCATCTGCACCACCTCTGCACCTCACTTGTACCTCTGCACCGCATCTGCACCACATCCGTACGGCATCTGCACTGGGCTCCAGTCCAGGCCCAGGACCAAAGGATTCTATCCAACTTCTCCGTGGACTGCAGTGCTCACAGCCCTCGGCAGGGGGAGCCCGTGAGCCAGAGCAAGTGGCTAAGGCGGGTTACAGGGGTGAGGACCCTGAGCCCTGGTTCTGGAAATGCCAGGACTTCAGTTCCAGTCCAGCCTCCACCTTGGCTGGGCAGCCTGGGGCATGACAGACACTCTGAGCCTGTTGCCTCTTTCCCAGGGTTCCTTGTCTATAGGAGAGGGCAATGCACGGCAGACAACTCAAGCTGTTAGGCACTATAGCCCTGCAGGGGCGGGGCAGGCGGGGGGAGGCGGAGGCTGACTGGTACCCTGCATTGCCATCATAGCCCTGCAGGGGCGGGGCAGGCAGGGGGCAGGTGGAGGCTGACTGGTAGACCCACACTCCAGGCACTGACGTCACTCACACGCTTCCTCTGTTCTAGTAGACGGGGATTCTGGTCTGCTGCCTTCTTTTCTTTTCTGTTTAATGGCACTGAGGTCTTAGGCCTGGACCCAGGCAGGCCGGGTCACTCTGTCGCTGGGCCAGGCCTCCAGCTCCTTTTGTACTGGAGATTTTGAAGCAGGATCTGGATGCTTTGTCTAGGAGGTCACTGGGACCACGATCCTCCTAGTTTATGCGTCCTGTAGTAGCCAGGCCGACAGGTGTGCACCATCGTACCCAGCTATCACTGAGAAAGGGGGTTAACTTTTTTTTTTTTTTTTGCCTAGGCTGGCTTCCTGAACCATGACCGTCCTGATCACAGCTTCCCGTGCTGTGGGAAGTGTGAGCCACTGCCCTGGCTCCCTGTTTGCATTTTCCACACAAGAGGCAGACCCTCCAGCCTGGAGCCTCTCGTGGACCCGGAGCTCAGAAGCCAAGTATTCCACTGGTCCAGGACTTCCAGACTGCCATCCTGCTGAGTGCGCGTCAAGCGGAGGAAGCCAGCCGGCGCCTGCGCATCAGAGCACAGTCCCCAGGCAGGGGCCGGCCGGCACTCACCAGCGTGATGTTGGCGACATCCTTGACAAACGCGATGGCCTTCTGGGGCTGGAACTTGCAGTTGCTGTTCTGCTCCGGGCAGGCAGACGATGGAAGGCAAGTTAAAGACACCCTGCCCAAGACGGCGTCTGCCCACTCCAAAAGGAAACTCCCAGCCGGGCACTAATGCTCACACCTATAATCCCAGCTACTCAGGAGGCTGAGATCTGAGGGCAGGAAAGTCTATGAGACTCTCATCTCCAACACACCACCAAAAAACAGGAAGTGGTGCTGTGGCTCAAAGTGGTAGAGCACTAGCCTTGAGTACAAAAGCTCAGGGACGGTGCCCAGGCCCTGGATTCAAGTCTAGCACTGGCACAAAAGATGACAGCATCTCACAGGCAGAAGCTACGTGCCCGAAGGCCTTGGTGAGGGGGTCACTGCAGGAATGACTGGAAACATCATGCTGAGCACTCAGGGGCCGGGCTGGCCCTGGCGCGCTCTGGCAGAGGTGGGCACCACCGGGCGGGCCGACACAGCACCAGGCAATGTGGCCAGAAATGGAGTGAGAGCCTGTGTGGTGGGGAGGGGTGGGAGGGTCAGCCCAGAGAGCTGTGCTGACCAAACAGAGGCAGAACACAGCACAGCACAGGGGCGGGCGGGCCCAGAGCCTGAGACTCAGCAAGGGGCTGGGGCTGATTGGCTGGTGCATTGATTGGTTGATGTGTTGATTGGCTAATGTGTTGGTTGGTTGATACACTGATTGGCTGATGGGAAGTCAGGTGTGGCTGGGGTGAGGAGGGGAGACTTGAAGTCGCCAGAGGGCTGAGAACAAGACCCCACTGCAGTCGGACGGAGATGAACCTAGTGGCTTGGGGCAGGCTGCCACACCCTTTGTTTTGGTGCCAGTAGTGGGGCTTATTAATGCTGAAGACAGGGGTGCTCTACCCCTTGAGCCACACCTCTATTCTAGCTTTTTGGTGGCTCACTGGAAATATAAGTATTAAGAGACTTTCCTGCGTGTACTCCTTTTGAATTGAGATCTAACGATCTCAGCCACCTGAGTAGCTGGGATTACAGGCGTGAGTACCAGTGCCCAGCCATGCTCTCTGTGGAAGCAAGGGACAGGGAGAATGGTGGGGCCCAAAGGAGCCCTTGGGAAGTCTGCATGGTCAGCAGGCTGCCTGGGAGAGGGCCTGGGGGTCAGCGGCCGACATGGGGCAGGGCCCCCAATGAGGCTGGAGCACCAGGGGGTGCCCAGATGTGGGAGGGATGGGGGATGGGGAGGAGACAGAGTCCCTGCCCACCATGAGCATGAGGGCTTAGGCCAGGGAGGCAGGGAGGAGGGAGGAGGAACGGTGGTGGAGGCCCCCGAATTACCTTGCCTTTGTAGGGGTAGGTGTCCTCTCCCATGATGCCCTTGTTGTAAAGGATGTACTCGAAGGCCTGGCTGGGGAGCCCCCTGAGGAGAGCGCACGCAGGTGAGCACCCCGAGCCTGGCCTCAGAGACAGGTGAGGGGGGGCAGCTGGAGGCGGAGATGTCAGAATCAAGTTCAGCACACTTGCCAGGCACTGGTAGCACATGCCTGTCGTCCCAGCTACTCAGGAGGCTGAGAGCTAAGGATCCCAGGATGGGAGGTGTTTCCCACACGCCCAGTCCCTAGTATGCCACCAGGAGGCGCTGTGGAAAGAGGATGGACGACAGGAAGCAGCAGCAGACAGGCTGAGCTTGGGCCGCAGCCCCGCCCTAGCCTGGCTGCATGGACTCTCCCAGCAGGCTGGACACTGGGGTGTGAACAGGGCCCTGTCTGTGGCGGCTGCTGGATCTGACAGTGGCGACTACTGGAAGAGAGGGTTGGGGGGAGGGGAGGGGAGGGGAGGGATGTACCCTTGACAGCCATGATTGTTGAAGTCCTGGGCGCAGTCCACCAGCTGCTGCTCAGCCTGGAGGGAAAGCACGAACCCCAGTGAACCCAAGGCTGGGGGGACTCAGCACAGAGATGCCGACTTCCCCTAGCTGATGCCCGTGACCAACCAGCATCGTGTCAAGATGACATGATCAGCCAGGCACTGGTGCTCACGCCTGCAATCCCAGCTACTCAGGAGGCTGAGATCTGAGGATCCAGGTACAAAGCCAGCCCAAGAAGGAAAATCTGAAGTGGAGCTATGGCTCAAGGGGTAGAGCACCAGCCTTGAGCAAAAAAAAAAAAAACCAAAAGCTCAGGGACGGCGCTCAGGCCCTGAGTTCGAGCCCCAGCCCTGGCCACCCACATCCTCGGGGTCACCATCTTACCAGAGACAGCATCTTGCCGCTGGCGATGGCCACGGCGGACTCCAGTGCGCCGGTGGTGGAGAAGGTCCAGCAGCTGCCGCACGCGCCCTGTGGAGGCCACAGGAAGTCAGCAATGCCCCCCTCACCCTGTGAGGCCTAGGTGTCCCCTGCACCCCACTGCAGAGTCTGGCTCTTCTGAGTCCCCCTACCCCCTTGTGATGTGACTGCCTTGCTATGCGGCCCCAACTGGCCTCAAACACACAATCTTACTGCCTCTCCAGTGTTGGGACTACAGGCATATGCCGCCATGCCCGGCAGAAAGCTAGTTTTGAAGCCCCTCTGTCATGAGACCTTGAGGAAACCACCTTGTCTCTGTTTCTAGAAAGCAATAGGTCTGCGAGGGGACCCGATGCCGAGCTTGCCACTGTTGGCTGAGCATAGAACAGCCACCCGGGACTCCATGGGTCCCTTCCAGTGCGCAAGACTTTCCTGCCTCCCAGATATGATGAGCATGGGAGGGTGTGGCACTGGGCCCACAGGACTTCTTAGAAAGTTAAAAAAAAAAAAAGCCAAGTGGTGCTGATGGCTCACGCCTGTCATCCCAGCTACTCAGGAGGCTGAGATCTGAGGATCACAGTTCAAGGCCAGCCCAGGCAGGAAAGCCTGAGAGTCTCTTCTCTCTAATTAACATCAAAAAGCCAGAAGAAGTGGAGCTGTGGCTCAAAAGGCCAAGAACCAGTCTTGAGTGGAAAAAGTTAAGGGACAGCGCTTAGGCCTGAGTTCCAGTCTCAGTACGGGCACATCTGAGCATGTACGTGCACACACGTACCCATACAAATGTGAAAAAAAAATTTTTGTTTTGGTCTTAAGGCAGGGAGTCGAACTTGGTCCATGTTGCCGCCACTTGCTGGCTGGTGCTCTACCAACTGCACCACACCTCCGCCCCGTCACAAGTTTTCTCATGCAGTTTCAGTGGAAAGCCAAGCGTGTGCAGAAAAGCTGCTCAATTGGGGCCGCCAGGGGGCGCTGCGCCCACTGCGTGCACCTCCTCTATGTCTAGCCTGGTGTAGGCCATGCTGGACGGGGCTCCCTCACAGCCCCTCTGGAACCAGCCGGGACTGGATCCACGGGGGGTGCAGGGCAGGGGGAGGAGGCCACAGGAGGCAGGTAGGAATGGATCCTGGTGCCTAATCTCTGAGGAGCACAGGAAGCATGAAGCATGTTTTGGATGACAACAGGGCAGTCCTGGGACTCACAGGTAAGTATAGGTATCCTGAGAGATGGAAGGGGGAGCCACGTGTCAACTTCAGTGATGTATGTGTGTGTACGTGCGCGGGTGCGCATGCGCATGCCGGTACTGGGACTTGAACTCAGGGCCTAGGCACTGTCCTTTAGCTTTTCCACTCCAGAAAGGTGCTCTACCACTTGAGCCATGGCTCCACGTCTGACTTCTTGCTGGTTTCACTGGAGCTAAAGTCTCACGGACGTTCCTTGCCTGGGTTGATTTCAAACAATGATCTTCAGATCTCAGTCTCTTGAGTGGCTGGGATGACAGGCGTGAGCCACCAGTGCCTGGCAAGCAGCTAGATTATTCATAAAACAACCACCTCAGGGCTGGAGGACAAGGAAGAGCAGAGTCGCAGCTGAGCAGTGGGCGGAGGCTGCGGTGATTCTCGGAGCTTCCCCTCCGGCTCACTCCCTGCAAACCTGGCCACTGTAAGAAAGCCTGGGCCTCCTGCGTATATACCTGGTTCTTCACCGCGGAGACAAATTTCCCTTTCTTCCGCCAGTCCACAGAGGGTGGGTAAGGCCCAGTTCCCCGAAGGTAGTTGCTTTTGGTGGCTGAGCAATTCTGAAACAACCAAAATACATAATTTTCAGGAAAAAGGACAAGAATACCTTTGGTCTCCCCTCTACTCACCCCAAAAGTGGAATTAAAGTGGAATTGGCAAGCAGGGTGCTGGTGGTTCATGACTCATTTTAGCTCATCGGGAAGCTGAGATATGAGGGTGAAAATTCAAAGCCACCCAAGCAGTAATGTCCATGAGATTCTTTTTGTGTGTGTGTCAGTTGTGGAGCTTAAACTCAGGGCCTGGGTGCTGTCCCTGAGCTGTTTTGCTCAAGGCTAGCACTCTACCACTCTGAGCCACAGCACCACTTCTGGTTTTCCGGTGGTTCATTGGACAGAAGAGTCTCAGAAGCCAGGTGCCAGTGGCTCACGCTTATATTTCTAGCTTGAGTAGCTAGGAAGGCTGAGATCTGAGATCAGGAGGCTGAGATCTGAGAACTGCAGTTCAAAGCCAGCCCAGGCAGGAACATCCATGAGACTCTTATCTCTAATGAACCACCAGAAAACCAGAACTGGTGCTGTGGCTCAAGTGGTAGAGCACTCACCTTGAGCTGAAGAGCTGAGGGACAGCGCCCAGGCCCAGAGTTCAAGCCCCACAACGGACCAAAAAAAAAAAAAAAAAGTCTCAGAGACTTTTCTTTCCCTGGGCTGGCTTCAAACCATGATCCTCAGATCTCAGCCTCCTGAGTAGCTAGGATGACAGGCCACAGGCCATCGGCACTTGGCCATGAAATTCTTATCTCCAATTAGCCATCAAAAGGCTAGAAGTGGAGGTACGGCTCAAGTGGCAGAACACCAACCTTGAGCAGAAAAAGCTAGAGTGGGAGGCCCTGACTTCAGGCCCTAGTTCAGGTATGGAAAAGAAACCAACCAACCAAAACAAACAAACAAAACCCAACTCTCAATTTCCACTAAGCCCCTTTATTATTTTATGGTGTAAAGCTAGATCAGAGTACATACTGCCACAACCAGCGCCTGGACTGAGCAGGAGACCCTTGCTACTTGCCTACACACACACACACACACACACACACACACACACACACACACACACACCCTCCTTATCCCTCATTGGCTGCAGTTGAAGATAAAATCGCATCTAGACAAGCAGAGTGGGCCAAAGATTTGAGGGGAAAAAATGCATTTTTTTGGGGGGGGGTTTGCTCGTCCCAGAGCTTAAATTCAGGGCCTGTCACTGTCCCTGAGCTGCTTTTTGCTCAAGGCTAGCTCTCTACTCCTTGAGCCACAGTGCTACTTCTGGCTTTTTGGTGGTGCACTGGCGAGAAGAGCTTCATAGGCTTTTCAGTTCAGTCTGGCTTCGAACTGCGAATCTCACATCTGGGGTGGCGTTTCAATGAATCACACCTACCTGGGGCAGCGTCCAAAGATATTTGTGTTTGATTTCAGCGAAACTCAAGTCTGAAAACTGGTTGAGCGCCACTGGAAGGGAAGAAGAGGAAGACTGAAGGAGAGACGCTTATGCAGTGGCTAATTAAGAGTTTTCTGTTTATAGACTATAACTAGACTCCACTAATTAATTGTTTTGTGTGTGCCCGTACCGGGAGGTTTGAACTTAGGTTCTCATACTCTAACTTAGCTTTTCCTGATCAAGACAGGTGTTCTACCATTTGAGCCATTTCTGGCTTTTTGCTGGTTCACTGGAGATAAAAATATCTCAGAGACTTTCCTGCCCAGGCCGACTTTGAACCATGATCTCCAGATCCCAGTCTCCTGAATAGCTGGGATGACAGGTATAAGCACCACTGCCCAGCCTGAGTCTCTGTTGCTGACAATCCCAAATTCCTGATGGGTTCTGAGAGGCCCTAGCCCCTCTTCCCAAAGGGCATGGAGGAAGGGCACCCCGGGTACTTTTATTTGAAATTTTTATTATTATTATTATTTTTTTTGCCAGTCCTGGGCTTGAACTCAGGGCCTGGCACTATCCCTGAGCTCCATTTGCTCAAGGCTAGCCCTCTACCATTTGAGCCATAGTGCCATGTCCAGCTTTTTTCTGTGTTTGTGGTACTGAGGAATCGAACCCTCACATGCAGCCCCCACCCAGTCCTTTTTTTTTTTTGGGGTCTGGTCGTAGGGCCTGAACTCTGGGCCTGGGCGCTGTCCCTCAGCTCTTCAGCTCAAGGCTAGCTCTCTACCACTTGAGCCACAGCGCCACTTCCGCCTTTTCTCTTTTTGCTTATGTGGTGCTGAGGAATTGAACCCAGGGCCTCAGGCATGCAAGGCAAGCGCTCTACCACTGAGCCACCTTCCCAGCCCCCGCCCAGTACTTTTAAATGTGTGGTTCCTCTTGTTGTGGGCGTTGATCTTCCTCCAGTTGCTGGCGAATGTCTGGAGCCTCTGTTGGTATTCCTCCGCGCTGTACATTTTTTGATGCTGAAACAACATTCATCATTCGTCAATACATCATGGAAGCAGCTTGCTGCGCAGAGGCAGGGCAGTGAGTTTCCTCTCTGCCATCCTCCTCCTCCTCCTCCTCCTCTTCACCATCACCATCACCATCACCATCAATCATCATTATCATCATTTTCTGTGCTGGTCCTGGGGCTTGAATTCAAGGCCTGCTGTTTCAATCTTTTTGGCTCAAGGCTGGTGCTCTACCCCTTGAGCCACAGCTCTGCTTCTGGCATTTTTGGTGGTTCATTGGAGATAAGAATCTCACTGGCTTTTCTGTCTGGGCTGGCTTAGAACTTCGATCCTCAGATCTACAAAGGTGCTTTGAGCACAGAATATAGAAAGGAATTTCATCTCTTTCTTTCTTTCTTTCCTTCCTTCCCCCCATCTCTCTCCTTTCTTTCTTTCTTTCTTTCTTTCCCAGTACTGGGGCTTGAACTCAGGGCCTGAGCACTATCTTTGAGCTTTTTTTGCTTAAGGCTAGGGTAGCCCTTAACTGCTTGAGCCACATCTCTACTTCTGGCTTTCTGGACACACAAGAAGTGTCACAAACTTTTCTGTCCAGGCTGGCTTCAAACCTCAATCCTCAGATCTCAGCCTCCAGAATGCTTAGGATTATGGGCGTGAGCCACCATGCCTGGCTATGAATCTCATTCTGAAAGGCTCCCAGCCACACTCGTGGATGGGGGCTGCTTTCTGCTACTAGTTCTTCCTTAGGGTTTGCAAATCATGAAGTCTGAAAGCCCCTAGGACTTTCCTTCCAAATCTGGTGTTGTTTGGTTTAATAATAGGAAACTTGAGAGGTGAAAAACTTCAGAAAGAAGAAGTTGGGCACTGACCTGAATCATCCAAGACTTGAAGTGAAACTTCTCTGTTAAGAAAGAAAATTAAAATTAGATCGGGGTCATTGTTCTTGATCTGCATTTTAGAAAACAAGACACCACAGATAAATGTTACTTAATTCTGAGTGCAAAAATGGAACTCAATACTGTTTTATACCCTACAGTAATTTTGAAAAATAGCAAATGTTTTTCTCATAGTGGACAGAAAGAGAGAGAGAAAAGGGAGGGAGGGAGGGAAGGAGGGAGGCAGAGAGAGACAGAGAGGAAAGATATCTCCCCCCTCCCCCACCCTCCCCTCCCCACCAACCAGGGCCTCACTGTATAGCCCTAATTGGTCTCAAACTCATGATCCTCCTACTTCAGCCTGCTGGGTGCTGGGATTACAGGCATGCACACCACACCAAGCAGTAAGAAAGTTTTGGGGGTTTTTGTGTGCTAGAGTTGCAACTTGAACTCGGTGCCTCGTGATCTCCACTCTCTTTTGCTTTCTTCCCTCAAGGCTGGCACTCACTTGAATATTTGCCATTTATTTATTTGTTTGTTTATTTTCTTTGCCAGTTCTGGGGCTTGAACACGACCTGGGCACTGTCCCTTAGCTTTTTCACTCAAGGTTGGTGCTCTACCACTTGAGCCATGCCTCCATTTCCAGCTTGTTGCTGGCTCATTGAAGAGTCTCACAGATTTTCCTGCCTGGGCTGGTTTTGAACTGGGAGACACAGAGATGTCTCCTGAGTAGCTGGTGATGACAGGTACAAGCCTCCACAATTTTATATCCATGGGTTTAGGGTGATGAGAGGAAAGGGGGGCTTCTGGAAGCAAAGGGCCTCGAACATCGGCCCTGGTGGAATCCGCTCTCCATGTTTGCAGGGGGCACACCCCAGGATGTACCTCATTACTATTCACACACACACACACACACACACACACACACACACACATTTTTTTTTTTCAGTCATAGGGCTTGAACTCTGGGCCTGGGCACTGTCTCTCAGCTCTTCAGCTCAAGGCTAGCGCTCTACCACTTGAGCCACAGTGCTACTTCTGGCCTTCTCTGCTTATGTGGTGCTAAGGAATCGAACCCAGGGCCTCATGCATGCAAGGCGAGCACTCTACCACTGAGCCACCTTCCCAGCTACCATTCAATACTAAAATCTCCTTTTTTGGCTCCTAGATTTGCTTCAGAAACCAAGCTGGGGCCATGTTCCCTGGGGAAGTGTCTCCCCGCTAACACACACCTGAGCAGTGCTTCAGGGGGTCTCCAGTCCTGGGTTAGGGGCCCGACATAGTCGGCAATTTCAAAGAATCCAGCCTCAACTGAGGACCCTGGCTTGCGGCAGGGAAGTTCAGGGCTGGCCTGTGCATCTGGGGGCTTCCAAAGAGTGAGTAGAATGAAACCCTGGCTCCCCGCCCCCCATTTTAAACTCAAGGACTTATGTTCTTACTTGGCTTTTTCTTTCCTCTACGCTAAAGCCCTACCACTTGAGCCGCACCTCCATTTGCAGTTTTTTGCGGGTTCACTGAAGATAAAGAGTCTCAAGGATTTTTTTTTTGCCCTAGATGCTTTTGATTCTCAGATCTCATCCTCCTGAGTAGCCAGGATTACAGGCATGAGCCATAAATAACAACATGTGACACCCAGACACATGCTTTTATTTTTAGTTACTTTATTTTTATTTATATTCTGCCAGTCCTGGGGCTTGAAGTCCTGGGCACTGTCCCTGACCTTCTTTTGCTCAAGGTGAGCACTCTACTACTTGAGCCACAGTGCCACTTCTGGCCTTTTCTGTTTATGTGGTACTGAGGAATCGAATCTGGGGCTTCATGCATGCTAGACAAGCACTCTACCACAAAGCCACATTCCCAGCCCCCAGACACCTGTTTTTCTATACGGAGTTTCCTAGGGCTTAAAAGAATTGGGAGGAAGCCAGGTGCTGGTGGTTCACACCTGTAATCCCAGCTACTCAGGAGGCTGAGACCTGAGGATCACAGTTTGAAGCCAGCTTGAGCAGGAAAGTCTGTGAAACTATTATCTCCAATGAACCACCAGAAAATCAGAAGTGGTGATGTGGCTCCAAGTGGTAGAGCACTAGCCTTGAGCACAAAAGCTCAGGGGCAGAGCCCAGGCCCTGTGTTCAAGCACCATGACCACCACCACCAACAAACAAAGGTGGAGGGAAATGAATAATACCGTGCAGTACCTGAGCATATGAAATTGAAATTCCAATGTCCATAAATAAACAATAGCACAAACCCCTCATTGGTTTATTTAACCTACTGACCCTGACCTCTCTCCTTCCACAGCCGTGAAAGTGACTACAGAGACTGAACGGCACACAAAGCTGAAATATTTACTAGCAGGTCTTCACAGGGCTTTGCCACGCCCTGCTTTAAAGCCAGCTCTTCAGTGCCAACCTTGCTCGCTCCTGGTGGGCCACTTGCCAAGGTAAAGCAAAGCCGTGGCCGCCTGGGGCGGCGGGCTGGCCTGGAGCCCAGGGCCTGGGGCCCTTCCTTCCAGAACAGGTGGAGGAGGAAGGGCTGAGGCAGTCAGAGCAGACAAGACTCAGCCTAGCACTTGGAGAGCGCCCCAGGGCGCTGTGGGGGCTCAGGGGCTGCAGGGGGTCGCAGATTCTGAGGAGTCTCTGGCACCAGGCTTGCTCCCAAGAGGGGTTTACAACACTGCACACGACATTATATGGATGTGCCCGTCCTGGGGCTAGAACTCCAGGCCTGGGCGCTGTCCCTGAGCTCTTTTGCTCAAGGCTGGAGCTCTACCATTTGAGTCCCAGCTCCGCCTCTAGCTTCTGGCCGGCTGATGGACGATCAGAGCCTCAGGGCCTTTCCTGCCTGGGCGGGCTTTGAACCGTGACCCTCCTATCTCGGCCTCGGGAGGAGAAGCTGGGGTTGCAGGCGTGTGCACCGGTGTCAACGCGCGACACCCGGGCCCCCGCGTCCAGCGAGGGCGGCCGCGCGCGATCGCGCCGG